CAGTCCGAAAATCCACTCAGATGCGGCTTGAAGCCATGGAGCTGCGTGTGTGTTCCAAGCCAAATGGAATGGCAATGATAATTACAGAAAGCATGTAAACACTTGGACTTGGTGGGAGTGGGAAACGGAGATGGGAGCTGGCTATGAAGAGGCGGGAGGTACAAGGAGGAAGAAGGCATACAGACAGGCCATGACAAGCAGCAGAAACGAATACAAATTGCCAGAGTAAGCGGTCGAGAGCGAGAGAGCGAGAGAGAGAGAGAGAGAGAGAGAGAGAGAGAGATGGAGATAAATGAAGAGGGAGAGAATGTGCTAGAAAACGTTAATTTCAAATTTATGTAGAGCGTCGAGTTTCCTCCTCAGCTGCTGATGAGGCTTGGAGCTGGCTGCCTGAGTGAGACTCAGATGCTGCCTCCTCGGCTGCCCCCACCACGCCCCCACCAACCAGTTGCAAGAGTCGAGTCTGCAGCAAGAAGTTTCTAAGATGCCCGCAGGGCGCGTGCTGAATTTAATCAGTTTGTTGGCCATGGCCCGAACGGCAACGTAACGAATGACAATCAAGTCAAGATGGAAAGTGGGCAGCCTGCCCCAGCCATCCAACCCCCCCGCCCAGTTCCTGGCTCCTCCTCGCCGGGCTGAGCAGTGGGCTGCCGGCTAACGTAAATTAGACGATGGCTCGCCAGTGCAGCATTTAACGGTAATACAATTTTATAGCTGCCGGTAAAATGCTGCACAAAAATTAGACATAAAGACAACAGCAATGTGTGCAACGCATTGGCCAGGAGCGGCGCAGCGGGGGCGGAAGACACCGTCAGAGACAACGTGAAAATTTCGAAAATTAAGTTGATGAGCTCGGCCAGAAGCAGCCCAGTCTGCAGTCCGTTCAGGCCAAGTCAGTTGAAGAGCGAACTGAAGTGGCAACAGCACTTAAATATTTGACCAAATTGGCTAAAAACAACCACTATAACGCTCCGTAAAGCACGGTATTCTTGATAATTGGATGCTCTATATGTGACACCTGCTGAAATAATTATACATTAAAAGGCTGCAAAACTAACGATTTACAGTTGCAGCCAATGCCTGGCCCTATGATTCGGTTTAAATATATGAGACCGGGCTTTGGTTTGAGTCTTAATTTTCATATTTTCTTTACAATTATGAGTATTAAGCTTAATATATACAATCTTTTGTTTTTCGTAACTAGATCACTTTTATAACCACGAAAAAGCGTTGCATTATTCCGAATTAACTAAAGTTAATATATATTTGGGTACATGTTTAGCTCTACATTAATGTTCGGTTACAATTAAAACTATGTTATGCTTTATTACAGTAAGGAGTTAACATAATAGTAACATTTTACAGGGAGTAACTTTAATAAACATTTTTATAAATATGTTTTAACAAAATTTGAGGATTTTAAATATGATTATTATGCCTGGATGGGTATATTAGATATTTAAAAGCTGTGCCTAAAATCTTAGCAGAATATTTCATATACTGCTAACAGCGCAGCTTTGGGTTACATCTCTTAAAATAACTGCATGTTATGCTAACAGCTGCAAGTCTGTTACTAACGTGCTCAAAATCCTAACCTTATTTAACGTTGCAAATATATAAAACGATGCTTCAGTTTCTTCAATATAATACTGACTAACTGATTGAAAGGAAATAGTTATTTTATTTGGCAATATATGTACTTTCCAAGTTGCTCGTGTGTGCGAATATGCTGACAAAGTCTTTATACTTTACCATCCAGCTAAGTATTACAAACAACAATAAACAACAACTGCAGTAGTCGCTTGATGTGGATAGAAGAGTCTGCGGTGGGCAGCGGGTACAGACAGCAGAGACTAGAGACTCCGGACGATGGACGACGACGACGACGACGACGACTACGACGACGACGACGTCATCGACACCTCCGATAGCTGAGCGATAGCTGAACTGAGCCGGGTGGGTGGCTGCGGCTGGGGCTGTGACTGTTACTGTGACTGGACACAGGACAGCAACCAGTGCGGCGGGCTGCGGCCATGGCTGAGACCGGGAGTGACCGGTTGCAGAGACCGCACGAGTTGGCGTTGCTGCATCTTCTGCCCTGCAACTGGTCGGACCCATGGAGGGGGTGGGGTGGCTGGAGCTTCTCGCTGGTTTAGTTTGGCTTGTCTAGTGACTTGACTGTAACCTCATTGACCAGAAAAATGCAAGCTGCAACAGCAATAACAAAAGCAACAACATCGCAACAGACAACAAAACATCAAATGTGAATTAGTGTACAAGGTAGCACAAGCAGGAGGAGAAGCAGGAGGAGCTTGGGTCGGGGTTTGTGAGGAAGCATTGCTCAAATGCTCCATATTTATTGGCACTTTTCGGTTTGTGTCTGTGCTGTGGCCTGGCACGGTGAGTGGGTGGGCGAGTGGGCGGGTAAGAGGGGAAGCCAGAAGAAAAAGCAGACGGAAGAGCAATTGGAGATAGTTGACAAACTGAACTGAGTCAAGCCGAAGGAATCGGAGCAGGGGCTGTTGAATATATAGCTTCTGATGAGTATGAATGAGTTGATGGTTCGGACTGCGGATTGGCATTTTAATTATTAATTTCTTGGCAAAGGAACAGCATTCGAATTGTTTGGAATGCGGCGACAAGTGACAAATGGCGACTTATATAGATGGTAAAAAAAAAAAAACAAATGGAGTCCCTTTGCACACTGGAGGAAGTCAAATGCGTTTAGTCCAAGCTATTAAAATTATTTATACAAGTCAGTTTAAATTATTTTTAATAAGTTTATGTTAATATAATCTTATTAAGATAATTCTAGGTTTTCAAGGTTCACGGTTTGAACCAGCTCCCTTCCTTTAAATTCGGTTGGAGATGGGCCCTACAACCTTGAACTTCATATCTCATATGTTTTTAAAAAGATATGTGTATTCAAACAATTCAATATTAATTAACTTTTTATTATGTTGATATACAATTCGATCCCTAACCAAAATTGGCAAAAACGGGCTGAAGAAGTGATATCTATCAATTTTATTCCGATTATTAATTCAAATTCTCTATTTGTTATACAAAATTCAAGATATTGGAAATTTAATATATTTTTTGATATTTTTAGGAATTGCAATAATTATTTTTATTACCAAAACGTTTTTTACCAGAATGTCGACTCAAGAATATTGCTTGGGGTTAGAGGTTAATGCTTTAAAAAAAAGTGCCTATAAAGTCAAATAAGATATACTAACAAGCAAATCCCAATTGGCAAATACATAGGCTAAATTCCCAGTACAAATCAAATGTGGTTGCATGCAAAAGGGATATGCAATTTTTGTATCATTCCCAATGTAAGCCTCAAAACATTTTGCAACTAGAAAAAATTAAAATATGTAAATAAGAATTAGAATTCGCCAAGCACACGCGCTGCTCCCACCCCTCTGGCAAAACGCACTGGTAATCAATGCATGCCCACTTCCAATGCCCAACACCACATGTGCCCCACCACGAGTGCCGGCCGAAAGAATTGAGAAGCAACAGTAATTGCTCAAAATTTGCGCTCGCACTGCACGCGCGTTTACTCTCTGTGCTCCCACACGCGCTCGCACTCACTCTTTCGAGTTTTCTCTGTCTCGTTCAGTCTGGGGGGCCGGAGCTTCGTCAAGTGTGCACTTCTCCTGCGCCGAAAACAGTTATAAATGCTGCCCACGTCGCAGTCGCTGTTGCAGTCGCCGCTGCAGTCGTCGTTGGCAGCAGCAGCGCTCATTTGTGCGCTTAATGACGTCATTATTTTTATTTTAACAACACTCGGCAGCGGGCGGAGCAGCGAGGCAGTAAAATACGACGACGAGTGCGAGCATTTCAATGGTGCATGTTGTGTGTGCGCTGCTCCTGCGCAGTCAACGGCGCTGCTGACGTTGCTCGCGTTTTGTTTCACATATTAGCTGAGACAAGACCACAGGCCAACCAGCCACCCCCTCTCACCCACTCAAACAACCACTCGCTGCTTGCGTCGACGTCGCTTTGACTATGTCTGGATTTTCGCTCTCGCTCGCGCTCTCTGTCTTTCCCTCTCGCTCCCTCTCTGTTGTGTCTCGCTCGCTTGCTCCTCCAGAGGCTTGGGCCATTTGCTTCGGCTTCGGCAGCGGCTTCGGCAACATTTTTGTTTGCTCGTGTTTGTCGTAAGTCGTCGTTGTCGTCGTCGTCGTCGCCGTCATCGTCATCGTTGTAGTTGTCGTGGTCTGTTGCTGTTGTTGCTGTTGTTGTGGCCGCGCTTTGCTACTTATGTTGATGATTGTTGGGGGTCCAAGCGCCGTTTGTGCGCCACACGTTCATTCAGTCTGTGGACGACTTTGCGCCTGTACGTACCACTCACGCACCGTTACGCTGCTGAGCGCGCACAAGCACACACTCGGACACTCGAACGCGCACACACACAGAAAGCAACGCGTGTGCATTTTTGCATTCCATTGCCGGCGTGTGCCAGGCAGCAACATTTCACAGCTGCAACACTGCAACTGCAACTGCAACTGCAACAGCAGTCTGCAACTGCGGTGCGCAACCTGAGCAAAAGTATTCCAAAGATTTCGCGCGCGCTTATCTCAAGAAATCGTCGCGTGTGGCTCAGCAACAAACCAACAAACCAACAAATAAACAACAAACAGCAACTACAACTATAAACTGCAACTGCAACTGCAGCATCTTTGTGTGTGTGTGTGTGGGTGTGATTTACAAAGTGCATCAGAATATTCAATTAATTACTCTCAATTCCTGTCCGATCGTTTCGCAGTGTTTTCTTCCCAATAAATTCTGTTCGGTATTCCAATCTTAACTTTGACCCACAGTTCAAGTAAAACTCAGAAAGTGTTTTTCGCTTTTAGTGCACTTCTCTATAAAATCTTAAACGAATAAATACAAAAATATCTTAATTAACGCTAAAGAAAAGAAGTGAAAACGCAAACAAAACCAAAACAAATAAGAAAAGCTGCGAGTTTTGACACAAATCTGAAAAACTAGGAAATTCAAGGAAATTCCCAATTTGCTGCTTTGATTCAACAAAAAGACGGTAATTAGAAAGAAATACTCTGATTAAATACTTTAAAATTATGCAATACGATGCAATTGTTTATGAATTATATTTAACAGTGAATATGAATAATTTACACTTTGTTTAAAGAACGCATTCGAATTTTTGGTATAAATTGCAAAATCCTTAAGGTTAACGATCAGTTCTTAGTTTGGATCTAATTTAAAGCTAACTACAAATTAAGTAAACTTAATTTTTTTAAGTAATGCGTTAGGATATTTGTTGAAAACTGAAAATTCGCAATGTTTAAAGATCAGTTCCTCTAATTTTGAAACAGAATGCAAATTAAAGAGAAATATTGAAAAATCTTTAAGGATAAGTTCTTCGATTGAAACTTTTATTAAAAAAATAGAAATTAAGTATGTTAAATTTTTAAAAGATTGCATCATAATATTTAGTGAAATTTCAAGAACCATAAAGGTTAAAGAACAGTACGATATTCCTTTTTTACGTTTGGTCCAACATTCTAACATTTACTTATTTGGGCGATAGAAAGATCTATTTATCTTGATTTAAATTAAAAATAAAATTATTGAAATTGGAATTTCTAATTTGGGTTTCTGTTTATCAGTTATTATATTTATTCAATGCATCCAAAATAATATATTATTTAATTTACATATCATATAATAATTGCTATAAAATTTGTGAACTGGTTCACGAATGTCTTCAAATAGCTCCGAGCTGTTCAAAATGTCACTTGACATGAAATTTGATATATGTGTTATAAGTAATTGATATGCGGCACTTGTGATTTAGGATTTGTTGACAATATTGAAAAACGATTTCTGTTCCCTCAATTAATTTGGGGTTACACGATTCGCTATGTTTCATCTGTTTCCAAGTGGTTCATGAATATATATGTATTACAGAAATGATGAAGCTGAATTTAATTTTTTGTTAATATTAGCATTCTTTAATGAGAATTCGAGCTCATTAGCTTGATTATATAATTTCTAATATGTAATAGTTGTTTTATCTTACTCTTCAACTATCGCAACTCTTGTTTTCGAGTCTACACTTTTTGGCTGCCCATTTAACTCGCCACTTGGGCAACTTCCTTGGCTAATTGCAGTTGAATCAATGAGCAGCTCTTAAAATATCATTAGTGTCAGGCTTATGGTGTTTATTTTCACAGGCAAATAAATTTGCATCTAACGCACTTTAAGAACTGCAGCCAAATGCAAGATTTATGCAAATCTTGGCCTTGACATCGTAATGCAGTAATACAATAAATTGATGTGATTTTTATGCAATGAGATAAAAGCGTTAATAGCATTAATTAAGCATAATTTTCAAGAGACAGGCAACAACAAAATAAATTGCAGCAGCGGCAGCGTTATTAACTCTCGAGTGCAATGCGTTTGGGGCACAACATGATGCAAGAATATGCTGCCCCAGCTGCGTGAACTCCCACTCCCGCACTCCCCCCGCCCCGTTTGGCATTTGTTTTGAGCACGAAAATAGACGCGGCCATCTAATAATAAAAGTAAATACAATAAATAATAATAAAGCAGGCAGCCAAACTAAACTAATCATATGTTTAGCGACGGACGCAGCGCTGGCAATTTGCAACAATGAGCCGCTCAAATGTATCTGTGAGATACGAAAATAAAAGTGCTGACAACAAAAAAACAAACGCAACTCTACACATAAATAGTTTAATGTGCTAAGCCTTGCAAATGATGCCACCCCACGAAAAAAATAAAATAGATATCTAAATATTACAATTGCCATTTGAATGAGTCGCGGACGTTTTGCAAAATACGCGCGCGCCGTTCGCTTGTAAAATGTATCTGCCAGATACAATAAGCAGCAATTCACACCAACAACATCAACAACAATGGCATTAGTAATAATCAGTTTCATTTGGCAGTCGCCGCCAACCTGCGCGTTACATTTTTCCCAGTGTGCCCAAGCTCCACAAATTATCGTTTGCATCTGTATCTGTATCTGTAACTGGCTACAAAGTATCTATAGGGTATGCGCTCGACTCGAGCGCTCCGCTTGCGTTTTTTGCATTGTTCGCCGCTGCCGCTTGGCTCGTTCATTTAATTAAATATAATTAGCTGCATTAATTGCAAATTAATACAGAGTTTAGTTTGCATTGTTGCCAAGTGGGGGGCCGGATGGGGCAGCCCGGGCTCGGGCTGCAACTCGTTTTCCACGGCTAGTTATCGCGTAATTATTTAGTTGGCCCGACTGTTTAGAGATTCGTAGCACATAAATTTATGCGCCGGCCGCTTCAAAATCACATCCCAATGACACTCGGAGGAACCTAATTTTATTTCGCATTTTCGCGTTACTCAATTCTTGAGCATTTGCATTTAATGAGTTTATCATTTCTATTCTATTTTTGCACGCTAATTAAGCGATTCGTTTGTTTTTTAACAACGATATTACAGCATTTTTTTTCTTCTTTGATTATTTTTTTGCATTTTCCAGTTGAACTGGAAAAAATCGAGGGTAAAAAGCCGTCGGTGCAGTAGAGAGCAATTTTAGAGGTTGTTATCTAAATAAATATAAATATACATTGATTTTGAGCCAATTTTATATTTTACTCTAGAAGTTCTAGAAGTAGACAGATAGATAGATTGATAAATGAACAGATGGGAAGATAGGTAAATAGAAAAATAGATAGATAAAGAGATAGATGATAGACAGATAGAAAAATAGAGAGATAGATAGATAAATAAATATATCACAATAATTTGCAAGAGAGTTTGGCTTAAAGTTTTTATATTATTTACATTAAGAGATCTTTTATACTCATATAGATATAAATAATTATCATGTGATATACATATTTATATTTAATTAGGTATTAACAAAGTGTTAAAATGTTTACTACCAATTATCCATTTTTATTAAAAATTTAGAAAACAGCGAGAAGGACAGAATATCCCCAGCACAGCGAATACGTCACACTCTTATAAACATTTCCCATATTCAGATATGTGAATATATGTATCGTGAGTCTGTGAAAATATATTTAAGAACAGAATATTTTGCCATGGAAAATGTTTTCCATACTGAGAGACTAGTTCGCATAGAAAGAGACAGACGGACATGGCTATATCAAACCGGCTGATAATGCAGATCCAGAATATATATACTTCTGTGCATTACACATTTCGTGACAAAATTGCAATACCCTCTGCAAGGGTATAGAAAGACACCCAACCCGACGACAATATAAACAATTTGTGTTTGACTAAACCGAAGGTTGCGGGCTCGATAGTCGCGTAATATATATTTGTGTGCCTAAATATATGTAGCCAGAATATAATGTGCATTCACTGTAAATGCTACTGCACATACGTATAGCCTGATTAAAACATTTTTCAAAGATATTTTAATGATATTGCGCATCATCAGAGAAATCCATTAAAGTCGTGTGTCCGAATGTTCGCCTGTTGCTGCAGCTCGCCAACTTTGAATGCATAAATTGCAGCACGAAAAATTACAAAGCAAAGAAAACCAACAATTATTAGATATTAAATTAAAATTAAAAGTTTTTGTTGTTGCTGCTCTCCAGGTTGTTGTTGCTGCTGCGGTTGTTGCTGCTTTTTTATGACAAACGGATGACGAACGCATAAAAATGCTGCAAGTGCGGCACAAGAAACGGCTACGAAAATCAGCAAACAGGCAGCAGGCATTAAAAATAACCAAAAGCCAGCGGCAATTGCGATCCCCCTGCCTTGCCCCCACTACCCACTACACACTTCCCCCTCCGCCCCTGCACAACTGTGGTGCACCGGCCCGCCCCGCCTTCGTCGGCTACCGCCTCATCCGGCGTCACGTTGTCACTTTAAGTAGGCAAATCGTAAAAGCCGCCAACAACAAAATAAAAGGCAGCAGAGAGAGGGAGAAGAAGCAGAAGAAAAAGTGCGTAATTATGTGCAGATATTTTGGCGTGCAGCTGGCTAAAACCGCCCACCGGCTAATGAGCTGCAACTCCGCCCCCAGCTTGCTGCATGCGTGCATCATGAGATCTCCCGAAACATGTAACTCAACCTGGCCAAGTGCACAGAGGGTCTTGAGATTAAACAAAATTAAAAACAATAATTACTGCTCGTAAATGCATGCAAAAGGAACAGCCGGAGCCGGAGCAGGAGCCGGGGGAGGAGTCGGAACAGGAGCATCTTGAAAGGATTTTCGCCTTTTGATGTGCGGCCAATTTACAAGTTGGGAGTTTTTTATGCTTGCAATTTTATTACGGGCTTGTGGGCGGCGCCCAGGAAATGCGTTTTTGCCAGCATTTCAATTGTGAAAAGAAATCCGTACGCAAAACAGGCTACAAATGTAATTAAAGTATATGTTAAAGGGAAGAAACAAAAGTTAGTTCAAGTTGGTTTTGTTCATAATTGGATTTGTAATGGCTTGGAATAAACGACTTATTGCGTTGGGAATCGAGTTGATGGAATAGTCAGAGTAGGAGCTGAGAATTCTCGATTCCAGCTGAGTTTTTCTTGACAATAGCCCAATAATAACACACATTACTTGTCCTACTTCACAAAATATATCCATAATTATATCTTTTCTGAAAGAAAGTTAAGTCTAATCTTAAAGTATTCCACCATAAACAAAACATATGCATCTTTTACTCTCCAGCTACTATTTTAACAATACACAAACTTCCAAAATTCACTCTTATCTATTATATTGGCTTGGTTATAAGAAGAAAAAATGGAGAAAATGGAAACATGTTTTTAATAAAATAATTAAAGATATGTACAGTCCCTCACAGCTTTTTGACTAAGTAAATAACTTTAGACAGGTATAAAAATTAAACTTAAAACGATTTGAAAATTTAATAAATGCCATTTGTTAGTCTGATGTTTCCAATTGCCAAATACAACTAGGTTAGTTTTTTAAATAATTTCCTACTTTATAACCCTAAAAAACTAAAAGTTCAAGCGAAGACAATTGATCTATATCTACCTTGCAAAAAGTATTGTGGATTTCGAAGAACTGTT